GTGCGTGGTCTCAGTCGAAGAAGGCGGAGGCAGGGACGAGGCCGGAGCACTTATCCTCACCCAATATGGGGTCCCAGGTGCGTGGTCTCAGCCCGAAGAAGGCGACGAGGCCGGAGCGCTTTTCCTCAACCACTATGTTCCAGGCGCGTGCTCGGAGGCGGGAGCGCTTATCCTCAACCAATATGGGGTCCCAGGTGCGTGCTCTCGCGGACCAGGCCGGCGCAATATGGGGTTCCAGGCGCGTGGTCTCAGCCCGAAGAAGGCGGAGGCGGGGACGAGGCCGGAGCTGGGGTCCCAGGTGCGTGCTCGGCAGGGACGAGGACGGAGCGCTTATCCTCAACCAATATGGGGTCCCAGGTGCGAAAGCGGAGGCGGGGACGAGGCCGGAGCGCTTATCCTCGACCAACGTGGAGTCCCAGGTACGCGATCTCGGCCCGAAGAAGGTGAAGGTGGGGACGAGGGCGGAGCACTTATCCTCAACCGATATGGGCTCCTAGGTGCGTGCCCTACCGCAGCGTGCAGCAGTGCCAGGTGCTTGAAGCCAGAAGAAGGCGAGCTTCAAGAGGAGGCGACAACAAGCTCGAAGGACTTACTCTCAGAAGACGTTCTCGGCGCGTGGTCTCAACCTGAAGAAGACAGAGGCGGCGACAAGGCCGGATCGCCTATCCTCAACTGTCATGGGTTCCCAGGTTCGTGGTCTGGAGAGAACAGAAGCCGAGACCAGGCCGGAGTGCCTATCCTCAGTCAATATGGGGTCCCAGGTGCGCGGTCTCAACTTGAAGAGGATGGAGGCGGGAACCAGGCCGGAGCACTTCTCCTCAACCAATATCGGGTCCGAGGTGCGTGGTCTCACCTCGAACAGGACGGAGGCGAGGAGAGGCCGGAGTGCCTATCCTCAACCAAGATAGGGTCCCAGGTGCATGGTTTCATCTTGGAGAAAAGAGAAAGGACGAGGCCTCAACCAATATGAGGTCCGAGGTGCGTGACCCCAGCAAAAAGACGACGCAGGCAAGGACAAGGCCGGGGTTCGAAGTGCGTGGCCCCAGGAAGCTCAAGCTGAAGAAGACAGAGGTAAGAACGAGGCCGGGAGGGCTTATCCTCAACCAATATAAGTTTCCGAGGCGAGGACAAGGCCGGGAGGGCCCATCCTCAACCAACATGAGGTTCCGAGGTGTGGAAGTTCAAGCCGAAGAAGACACAGGTAGGGACAAGGCCGGGGGGGGGCTCATCCTCAACCAGTATGGGTTTCCGAGGCGTGGAAGCTCAAGCTGAAGAAGGGCAAGGACAAGGCCGGGAGGGTGTATCATCAACCAAGATGGGTTTCCAAGACGTGGGGTCTCAGGCTGCAGAAGCGCAGCGACAAGGCCGGGAGGGTTTATCCTCAACTAGTACGGGTTTCCGAGGCGTGGAAGCTCACAAATCGAAGAAGACAGAGGCAAGGATAAGGCCGGGAGGGTTTATACTCAACCGATGTGGGTTTCCGGGGTATGGAAGCTCCAGCCGCAGAAGACAGAGGCAGAGACAAGGCGGGAAGGCTTATCCTCAACCGGTATGGGGTTCCGAGGTGTGGAAGCTCAAGCCGAAGAAGACAGAGGCAAGGACAATCCAAGGTATGGAAGCTTGAGCCTCAACCAATGTGGTTGCCGAGGTGTGTGGTCTCAGCGACAAGGCCGAGAGAACCCCTGAGCGCCCTCCCCCCTCCTCCTGGGGCGGGAGGGTAGTGGGCAGACACCAAAAAAACTGAAATGGTGTTGGTTCCCACCCCTCCCCGGCCCCCTCCCCCACCCTCCCCCCTTCCCTCCCCCTCCCCACCCGGTGCCTCCTCCGGGGGGGTGGCACGAGTCTCACGGGGGGTAGTGGGCAGACACCAAAAAACAACCCGCAACCAAGTGGGGTGTGGGTTCCCCTTCCCCCGCACCCCTCCCCACCCTCCCCCCCCCCTCCCCCCCACCCGGTGCCCCCTCCGGAGGGTCCCCCCGCTCCCTCCCCCCCTTCCCTCCCTCCCCTTCCCTCCCCCGAACCCCGCACCGCAAGGCAGTGACCTCCCCACCCTCCTCCCCTCCCAACCCGCTCACTTAGACCGCAACCAGCGTGGAGTGCCAGGTGCGTATCCTCAAGAAGAAGAAGGCCGGGAGCGGGAACGAAGCCGTGCAGGCTCGCCTGCATGGTGTCCCAGGTACGTGGTCCCAACCCCAAGAAGACCGAAGTGAGGAGGTGAGCGCTGATTATCCTCAACCAATGTGGGTCCCAGGTGCGTGGTCTCAGTCGAAGAAGGCGGAGGCAGGGACGAGGCCGGAGCACTTATCCTCACCCAATATGGGGTCCCAGGTGCGTGGTCTCATCCCGAAGAAGGCGACGAGGCCGGAGCGCTTTTCCTCAACCAATATGTTCCAGGCGCGTGCTCGGAGGCGGGAGCGCTTATCCTCAACCAATATGGGGTCCCAGGTGCGTGCTCTCGCGGACCAGGCCGGCGCAATATGGGGTTCCAGGCGCGTGGTCTCAGCCCTAAGAAGGCGGAGGCGGGGACGAGGCCGGAGCTGGGGTCCCAGGTGCGTGCTCGGCAGGGACGAGGCCGGAGCGCTTATCCTCAACCAATATGGGGTCCCAGCTGCGAAAGCGGAGGCGGGGACGAGGCCGGAGCGCTTATCCTCGACCAACGTGGAGTCCCAGGTACGCGATCTCGGCCCGAAGAAGGTGGAGGTGGGGACGAGGGCGGAGCACTTATCCTCAACCGATATGGGGTCCTAGGTGCGTGCCCTACCGCAGCGTGCATCAGTGCCAGGTGCTTGAAGCCAGAAGAAGGCGAGCTTCAAGCGGAGGCGACAACAAGCTCGAAGGACTTACTCTCAGAATACGTTCTCGGCGCGTGGTCTCAACCTGAAGAAGACAGAGGCGGCGACAAGGCCGGATCGCCTATCCTCAACTGTCATGGGTTCCCAGGTTCTTGGTCTGGAGAGAACAGAAGCCGAGACCAGGCCGGAGTGCCTATCCTCAATCAATATGGGGTCCCAGGTGCGCGGTCTCAACTTGAAGAGGATGGAGGCGGGAACCAGGCCGGAGCACTTGTCCTCAACCAATATCGGGTCCGAGGTGCGTGGGCTCAACTCGAACAGGACGGAGGCGAGGAGAGGCCGGAGTACCTATGCAAGGACAAGGCTGGGAGGGCCCATCCTCAACCAACATGGGGTTCCGAGGTGCGGAAGTTCAAGCGGAAGAAGACACAGGTAGGGACACGGCCGGGGGGGGGGCTCATCCTCAACCAGTATGGGTTTCCGAGGCGTGAAAGCTCAAGCTGAAGAAGACAGGGGCAGGGACAAGGCCGGGAGGGCTCATCCTCAACCAATATGGGGTTCCGAGGTGTGGAAGTTCAAGCTGAAGAAGACAGAGGCAGGGACAAGGCCGGGGGGGAGCCATCCTCAACCAATATGGGTTTCCGAGGCGTGGAAGCTCAAGCTGAAGAAGGGCAAGGACAAGGCCGGGAGGGTTTATCATCAACCAATATGGGTTTCCAAGACGTGGCGTCTCAAGCTGAAGAAGAATATCCTCAACCAATATGGTGTGACAGCGCAGCTCCTACTTTGAGACTTTGAAATACGGCAGACCAGGGCAGGGCAGGGCAGCGCAGGGCAGGCCAGGCGGAGCAGGGGTTCTTGGTGGGGGGGTAGTGGGCAAGCACCACAAAAAAAACGACCCTGATTCTCTAGTCGAAGTGGGTTGTGCACCCCCAACCCACCCTGGGTTCCCCTGACCCCCCCACCCCCGCTGCCCCCCTTCCACCCCCCCTCTCCTGCCCCCACACCCCCTTGGGGCGGGTAGAGGGGAGGCACAAACCCTTTTCTCACCCCCCCTGCCCCCCTTCCACCCCCCCTCTCCTGCCCCCACACCCTTTTGGGGCGGGTAGAGGGGGGTTGAGGCGGCCTCCCCAACCCCCCACCCCCCACCCCCCTCCCCCCCAGCCCCTCCCCCCACCCCCCAACCTCCTACCTGCTGGCAAAACGCCTCAAAACCTTATCCTTAAGCAAGAAGAGGTGGGTTCCCCCAACCCCGCCCCACTCCCGCCCCCCTCCACCCACCCCCCACCCTCCTACCCGCCACCCCCCTACCTTCCCCCTTCAACCTGTCAGGCGCTCATCCTCAAGCAGAATGCGGGCAAGCCACGAAAGAGCCGCCACGTTTATCCTCAACCAGAAGAGGGCCAGGGGGTACAGCCGCCACGCTTATCCGGTGCCAGGCGAAGAGGTGCAGCCGCCACGTTTATCCTCAACCAGAATGGGGGCCAGGGGGAAGAGGCGCAGCCGCCACGCTTATCCAGAATAGGGGCTAGGGGGTACAGCCGCCACGCTTATCCGGCGCCAGGCGAAGAGGTGCAGCCGCCACGCTTATCCTCAACCAGAATGGGGGCCAGGGGGAAGAGGCGCAGCCGCCACGCTTATCCTCAACCAGCATAGGGGGCCAGGTGTTAGGCGAAGAGGTGCAGCCGCCACGCTTATCCTCAACTAGAATGGGGGCCAGGGGGAAGAGGTGCAGCCGCCACGCTTATCCTCAACCAGAAGAGGGGTCAGGGGGTACAGCGGCCACTTATCCAGTGCCAGGCGAAGAGGTGCAGCCGCCACGCTTATCCTCAACCAGAATGGGGGCCAGGGGGAAGAGGCGCAGCCGCCACGCTTATCCTCAACCAGAATAGGGGCCAGGGGGTACAGCCGCCACGCTTATCCGGTGCCAGGCGAAGAGGCGCAGCCGCCACGCTTATCCTCAACCAGAATAGGGGCCAGGGGGAAGAGGTGCAGCCGCCACGCTTATCCTCAACCAGAATAGGGGCCAGGGGGTACAGCCGCCACGCTTATCCGGTGCCAGGCGAAGAGGTGCAGCCGCCACGCTTATCCTCAATCAGAATAGGGGCTAGGGGGTACAGCCGCCACGCTTATCCGGCCAGGCGAAGAGGTGCAGCCGCCACGCTTATCCTCAACCAGAATGGGGGCCAGAGGGAAAAGGCGCAGCCGCCACGCTTATCCTCAACCAGAATAGGGGCCAGGGGGTACAGCCGCCACGCTTATCCGGTGCCAGGCGAAGAGATGCAGCCGCCACGCCTATCCTCAACCAGAATGGGGGCCAGGGGGAAGAGGCGCAGCCGCCGCGCTTATCCTCAACCAGAATAGGGGCCAGGGCGAAGAGGCGCAGCCGCCACGCTTATCCTCAACCAGAATAGGGGCCAGGGGGTACAGCCGCCACACTTATCCGGTGCCAGGCGAAGAGGTGCAGCCGCCACGCTTATCCTCAACCAGAATGACGCTTATCCGGTGCCAGGCGAAGAGGTGCAGCCGCCACGCTTATCCTCAACCAGAATGGGGGCCAGGGGGAAGAGGCGCAGCCGCCACGCTTATCCTCAACCAGAATAGGGGCCAGGGGGTACAGGGGGAAGAGGCGCAGCCGCCACGCTTATCCTCAACCAGAATAGGGGCCAGGGGGTACAGCCGCCACGCTTATCCGGTGCCAGGCGAAGAGGTGCAGCCGCCACGCTTATCCTTAACCAGAATGAGGCGCAGCCGCCACGCTTATCCTCAACCAGAATAGGGGCCAGGGGGTACAGCCGCCACGCTTATCCGGTGCCAGGCGAAGAGGTGCAGCCGCCCAGATAGAGGCGCAGCCGCCACGCTATCCTCAACCCGAATAGGGGCCGGGGGTACAGCGCCCGCTTATACGGTTGACAGGCGAAGAGGTTGCAGCCGCCACGGTTTATCATCAACAAGAAATGTGGGCCCAGGGGGAGAGGCGCAGCCGCCACGACTTATCCTCGACCAGAATAGCAGCCGAACGCTTCTCCGGTTTGGCAAGGGAAGAAAGCCGCCACGCTTATCCTCAACCAGAATGGGGGACAGGGGGAAGAGGCGCAGCCGCCACGCTTATCCTCAACCAGAATAAGGACCAGGGGGTACAGCCGCCACGCTTATCCGGTGCCAGGCGAAGAGGTGCAGCCGCCACGCTTATCCTCAACCAGAATGGGGGCCAGGGGGAAGAGGCGCAGCCGCCACGCTTATCCAGAATAGGGGCCAGGGGGTACAGCCGCCACGCTTATCCGGCGCCAGGCGAAGAGCTGCAGCCGCCACGCTTATCCTCAACCAGAATGGGGGCAGGGGGAAGAGGCGCAGCCGCCACGCTTATCCTCAACCAGAATAGGGGCCAGGGGGTACAGCCGCCACGCTTATCCGGTGCCAGGCGAAGAGGTGCAGCCGCCACGCTTATCCTCAACCAGAATGGGGGCCAGGGGGAAGAGGCGCAGCCGCCACGCTTATCCTCAACCAGAATAGGGGCCAGGGGTACAGCCGCCACGCTTATCCGGTGCCAGGCGAAGAGGTGCAGCCGCCACGCTTATCCTCAACCAGAAATGGGGCAGGGGGAAGAGGCGCAGCCCCCACGATTAGCCTCAACCAGGAATAGGGGCCAGGGGGTACAGACCCACGCTTATCCGGTTGCCAGGCGCAAGAGGTGCAAGCCGCCCGTTATACCAAACAGAATGGGCGGAAGGGGAAGAGGAGCAGCCGCCACGCTAGTCCTCAACAAGACTGGGGGCCGGGGGGAAGAGGCGCAGCGCAACGCTTATCTCAACAAGAATAGGGCCAAGGGGGAAGCCTGCCACGCTATCCGGATGCAAGGCGAAAGAGGTGGCAGCGCCACGCTATCCTCAACCAGAATGGGGGCCAGGGGGAGGCGCAGCCGCCACGCTTATCCTCAACCAGAATAGGGGCCAGGGCCAGGGATTACAGCCGCCACCTTTATCCGGTGCCACGCGAAGAGGTGCAGCCGCCACGCTTATCCTCAACCAGACCGGAGGCCAGGGGGAAGAGGCGCAGCCGCCACGCTTATCCTCAACCAGAATAGGGGCCAGGGGTACAGCCGCCACGCTTATCCGGTGCCAGGCGAAGAGGTGCAGCCGCCACGCTTATCCTCAACCAGAATGGGGGCCAGGGGGAAGAGGCGCAGCCGCCACGCTTATCCTCAACCAGAATAGGGGCCAGAGGGTACAGCCGCCACGCTTATCCGGTGCCAGGCAAAGAGGTGCAGCCGCCACGCTTATCCTCAACCAGAATGGGGGCCAGGGGGAAGAGGCGCAGCCGCCACGCTTATCCTCAACCAGAATAGGGGTCAGGGGGTACAGCCGCCACGCTTATCCGGTGCCAGGCGAAGAGGTGCAGCCGCCACGCTATCCTCAACCAGACGTGGGGGCCAGGGGGAAGAGCGCAGCCGCCAAGCTTATCATAAACCAGAATAGGGCAGGGGTACAGCCGCCACGCTTATCCGGTGCCAGGCGACTCAAGCTGAACGAAGCTGGAGGCGGGGACGGGAGGGCTCGCACGAACAAGTGATTTGTCTATCCTCAACCAATATGGGGTCTCAGGTGTTCAGTCTCAAGCTGAACGAAGCTGGAGGCCGCCACGCTTATCCTCAAGTAGAAGGGGGGCGGGGGCGCCCATCCCCACAGCCCTTGTTCCCGAGGTCGGCATGTCTGAGGACGTGGGCGATGAAGGCCCAATTCCTGCACATACCGTGTTGAGCTGTGGCAGAAGGCCAAAACGGGCGTGCATGTCCAGCCGTTCTTGGATTCAGAGTCGTTGCCAGCAGGTAGCCTTGTGAAAGTGCACAGCGCAGCATCCTGTGGCAGCACATCCTTCAACGCCGCCACCATAGCATACTAAGCCTCAAACTGCTATCTAGCATCAACAGATATCACTGGCCTGTGGCCCGGTGCGAGCCTCAGATATGGAAGGCTCCGCCAGTGTCGTCGCAGGTGGTCTTTGATAGCGTTGCAGCGGCCCGTGCTTCTCAGGTCAACTGGCACGACAATGATGTCCGACGACATGAACGAAGACTTCCAGAGCACAGACCATTCGATTCGCGACTCCGACCAGGTGGACCGCGAGGACGGGTTCGATGACTGGGACTGGGTCGGACAGGAGATGCAGCGTGAGGCCGAGGAAGATGCACGTGGGGGAGCAGCATGGGACAAAGAAATGGACATCCAGAATGCATACAACAAACGTCTGGCGAACATGACGGTGAAGTACATGAATATGAAGGGTGATGAGGTTCACGCCTCAAGGCCCTACCCGTGCTGCCAGCTTGAATGCGGCTCGTTCCGTGAAGCTTGGCTGACCACTTTACACGACGGAAACAACCCGGATCGATTTCTCTCTCTGTGCCAGCTACGTGAAAGACGGCAGAAGACCAACAAGCCTTTGCCTCCAGAAATACTACAGTATCGCAGCCCCAGAGAAGTCCTGCTTCACGACCTGGACAGCAGTCGCATTGGACCGATCTGCCTGGATGCCACAAAACTGGCGTTGGGCGGGGATGTGATCACGGATGCCTGGAGTTGGGATGAGCTCTTGGATCGCAGCTTGAGCGATAGCACCGTGCACGTGCACGTGGTCTTCAATTCCGAGCAGTCCAACGGCCGACAGTCCTAGAGCTCCAAATCTGAGCCGCGCGGAGAGAGAATACGAAATGTGCCCCAGGACTGCAGCAAAATGAAAGGGTCAGAGCCACCTGAACCTGAACATGGTCTTATTGAGCTTCTGCACGTTGTGCAAGGTTGCTGCAGCCAGGTGAAAAGGTCAGAGCCGCCCGAACATTACTTTCTTGAGCATGTTGTGCAAAATTGAATTCCTGCCTTACGCGTGCTGAGGCTTGGGCAACCCCGCAGCTTTTCGGCAGTCAGCCCCAGTTGAACTAAACCAATTCGGTAGACGTCATGGCCCCCTGCCAGCGATGCGGCTTTGGCATCAGAAGCGGCAGAGGCAGCGGATGGTAAGAACGGGCTGCAAAAGGAGCAGGCAGGCGAGGGCCCTTGCCCAACGAGGACAGCAAGAAAGCAGAACGGCGACAGTCGCATGAGGCAAGAGCCCGGGGCGAAGCAAAGAGGCACAGCCGCCACGCTTATCCTCAACCAGAATGGGGGCCAGGGGCAAGAGGCGCAGCCGCCACGCTTATCCTCAACCACAATAGGGGCCACGGGGTACAGCCGCCACGCTTATCCGGTGCCAGGCGAAGAGGTGCAGCCGCCACGCTTATCCTCAACCAGAATGGGGGCCAGGGGGAAGAGGCGCAGCCGCCACGCTTATCCTCAACCAGAATACACGCTTATCCGGTGCCAGGCGAAGAGGTGCAGCCGCCACGCTTATCCTCAACCAGAATGGGGGCCAGGGGGAAGAGGCGCAGCCGCCACGCTTATCCTCAACCAGAATGAGGCCAGGGGGTACAGCCGCCACGCTTATCCGGTGCCAGGCGAAGAGGTGCAGCCGCCACGCTTATCCTCAACTAGAATGGGGGCCAGGGGGAAGAGGCGCAGCCGCCACGCTTATCCTCAACCAGAATATAGGGGCCCCGCCACGGTTATCCTCAACCAGAATAAGGGCCAGGGGGTACAGCCGCCACGCTTATCCGGTGCCAAGCGACGAGGTGCAGCCGCCACGCTTATCCTCAACCAGAATGCTTATCCTCAACCAGAATAGAGGCCAGGGGATACAGCCGCCACGCTTATCCGGTGCCAGGCGAAGAGGTGCAGCCGCCACGCTTATCCTCAACCAGAATGGCGGCCAGGGGGAAGAGGCGCAGCCGCCACGCTTATCCTCAACCAGAATAGGGGCCAGGGGGTACAGCCGCCACGCTTATCCGGTGCCAGGCGAAGAGGTGCAGCCGCCACGCTTATCCTCAACCAGATTCCCAGGGGGAAGAGGCGCAGCCGCCACGCTTATCCTCAACCAGAATAAATAGGGGCCAGGGGGTACAGCCGCCACGCTTATCCGGTGCCAGGCGAAGACGTGCAGCCGCCACGCTTATCCTCAACCAGAATGGGGGCCAGGGGGAAGAGGCGCAGCCGCCACGCTTATCCTCAACCAGAATAGGGGCCAGGGGGTACAGCCGCCACGCTTATCCGGTGCCAGGCAAAGAGGTGCAGCCGCCACGCTTATCCTCAACCAGAATGCTTATCCTCAACCAGAATAGGGGCCAGGGGGTGCAGCCGCCACGCTTATCCGGTGCCAGGCGTAGAGGTGCAGCCGCCACGCTTATCCTCAACCAGAATGAGGGCCAGGGGGAAGAGGCGCAGCCGCCACGCTTATCCTCAACCAGAATAGGGCCGGCCAGGGGGTACAGCCGCCACGCTTATCCGGTGCCAGGCGAAGAGGTGCAGCCGCCACGCTTATCCTCAACCAGAATGGGGGCCAGGGGGAAGAGGCACAGCCGCCACGCTTATCCTCAACCAGAATAGTGGCCAGGGGGCACAGCCGCCACGCTTATCCGGTGCCAGGCGAAGAGGTGCAGCCGCCACGCTTATCCTCAACCAGAATGGGGGCCAGGGGGAAGAGGCGCAGCCGCCACGCTTATGCTCAACCAGAGGTGCGTGGTCTCCACTCCAAGAAGATCGGCTTATCCTCAACTAATATGGGGTCCTAGGTGCGTGGTCTCAACTCGAAAAGGATGGAGGCGGGGACCAGGCCGGAGTGCTTATCCTCAACTAATATGTCCCAGGTGGGTGGTCTCAACTCGAAAAGGATGGAGGACCAGGCCGGGGCGAGCATCCTCAACCATTTTGGGGTCCCAGGTGCCTGGTCTCCACTCCAAGAAGACCGGGGCGGGGACGAGGCCGGAGCGCTAAACCTCAACCAATATGGGGTCCCAGGTGCGTGGTCTCCACTCGAAAAGGACGGAGGCCGGGACAAGGTCGGAGCACTTATCCTCAACTAAGAGGGGTCCCAGGTCCGTGGTGTCAACTCGAAAAGGATGGAGGCGGGGACAAGGCCGGAGTGCTTATCCTCAACCAATACGGGGTCCCAAGTGCGTGGTCTCCATTGCAAGAGACCAAGGCGGGGACGAGGTCGGAGCGCTTATCCTCAACCAATGTGGGGTCCCAGGTGCGTTATCCTCAATTAATATGGGGTTGCCGGTGGAGCGCTTATCCTCAACCAATATTGGGTCCCAGGTGCGCGGTGTCAACCTGAAGAAGACGGAGGCGGGTACAAGGCCGCAGCGCTTATCCTCAACCAATACGGGGTCCCAGGTGCGTGGTCTCAATCTGAAGAAGACGGAGGCGGGGACAAGGCCGGAGCGTTTATCCTCAACCATCATGGCGTTCCAGGTGTGTTATCCTCAAGCAATATGGGGTCCACGGTGCGTGGTCTCAACCTGAAGAAGACGGAGGCGGGGACAAGGCCGGAGCGCTTATCCTCAACCAATATGGGGTCCCAGGTGCGTGGTTTCAACCTGAAGAAGATGGAGGCGGGGACAAGGCCGGAGCGTTTAGCCTCGACCAATATGGGGTCCCAGGTGCGTTATCCTCAACCAATATGGGTCCCCGGTGCGTGGTGTCAACCTGAAGAAGACGGAGGCAGGGACAAGGCCGGAGCGCTTATCCTCAACCAATATGGGGTCCCAGGGGCGTGGTCTCAACCTGAAGAAGACAGAGGCGGGGACAAGGCCGGAGCGCTTATCCTCAACCAATATGGGGTCCCAGGTGCGTTATCCTCAACCATTATGGGGTCCCCAGTTCGTGGTGTCAACTTGAAGAAGACAGAGCCAGGGACAAGGCCGGAGGTCAACCAAAGTGCATGGTCTCAACCTGAAGAAGACGGAGGCGGGGACAGGCCAGAGCGCTTATCCTCAACCAATATGGGGTCCCCGGTGCGTGGTGTGAACCTGAAGAAGACGGAGGCAGGGACAAGGCCGGGACGCTTATCCTCAGCCAATATGCGGTCCCAGGTGCGTTATATCCTCAACCAATATGCGTGGTGTCAACCTGGGAAGAAGACGGAGGCGGGGACAAGGCCGGAGCGCTTATCCTCAACCAGTCTGGGGTCCCAGGTGCGTTATCCTCAACCAACATGGGTTCCCAGGTGCGTGGTCTCAACCTGAAGAAGACGGAGGCGCATGCAGAAGTGGTTGCTTATCCTCAACCAATATGGTCTCCCAGGTGCTTATACTCAA